TATATATGTATCTATATATGTATCTATATATGTATCTATATATGTATCTATCTATCTATCTATCTATATATATATATTAGATCTTAGGCATTCATTTGCATTAGAATTTTGTGAACATATGCACAGAATTAAATTTCTATATGGTGAGATGGGAACTAGGTAGATTTAGAGTCATTTTATTAATGGGATTTGCAGGACCAAAGACTCATGACCAATTGTGTGTACTTCCTTGGTGGTTTTAAAGCACCTGAGAAGCACAACTCCATGATTATGCATGCTCATAACTGAGGAATGTCAAAGCAGGTATGGCAAAAGGTCAAAACAGAGAGGAAATTTAGGATGCTTGATATGAGGTTCGGGCCAGTTAAGACATATAGCAGACACATTATTTTTAGCTGCCCAACTGGTGAACCCTTTTCCATCTTTGTGAAGAAGAGGGGCACATTTAAAGCATATGAGAAGAAAGCCACATCGAATCACAGAAATGGGGAAATGCCAGACACCTGCTTGCCCAGATCTCCAGGAAGCTATGCATGGCCTGCAATCTGGACTTTGCCAAACACGTGCCCCTGCCAAGAAGTTGGAAGATATTTTTGAGAATTCTTTCAGGTTGATATCTTATCTTTGGTCTTGCCCATGACCTTAGCCTCTTCCATAGATTTCTCAACTATTCTTCAAGCTACCAAATGAAATGCAAGTGCCTTCCTTTTCTTCCCTTATCAACCAGAATCCATTTCAGTTGCTTGTAACTAAGGACCCCTAGTGAAACAGGAAGACATGAAGTGAATGGCTAAGGTTCAGCCAACAAGCAGAAGGAGTCTATTTTCTCTCCCAACACTGCTCTCTTCCAATCTAAATTCTCTCATTTAGAAACCACTGAACCCATCATACACAGAGACATTTACAAACCAAATTATATCTATTTTTTTAGACAAGGTCTCATGTAGGCTAGCCTAGCTTCAAACCCACTATGTAGCCATGGATGGCCTTGAATGATATATTCTCCTGCTTCCATCCCTCTGCTGCTAGGATTACAGGCACATACCACCATGCCTGGCTTATGGGCTGCTAGGGATCCAACATCAGGCCTTGTCATTCTAGGCCAACACTCTACCAAGGAAGCTATACTACCAATGCACAGTCACTTTGTGGTTATCCATCACATTAAGTGATGGCCTGATATTACAAAGATGTGATGGCCCAGTGCCATGGCTATATTGGCTACTATATTCCTTCCAAACATTTAAAATTTGGTATTATACATTAGAGTGGTGCATAATCTGTTTCACAAATCAGTAGCTCTTGCTGGGACATTATGTTACAGGCCTAAGTACCATCCAGGTGGTGAGATGGTTTCTCTGATAGATGTGACACTGAATACAGAATGATAGATATGCAAAATAAATGTTTGCTGATAAAAGTTTCAGAAATCTATTTTAGGATGGGAATCCTTCGGGGACTGCAAATGAGCACAGACTATTTCTCCTGTGGGGGAAAACAGGAACTCAGTAATCCAAGAGAGAAATGACTTTCCAAAGCCCATCCTTAAAGAATAAGCCAGTGTCTTGTTGGGGAGTAGCTAGGAGTGTGAAATGTATTAGCAACCCAAAGCTTTCTTTACACAAAAGTGACTTAAAGGGCATGCCAGCCTCTCCAGAAACATTTGCCGTGCCTCGCTTTTGATGAGATCATTTAAGACTGTATGTTCATTTATAGCATATGTGATATGCAAGATCTAGAGGGAGAAAAAGGACATGAAAATAGAAGGGGGACTATTGGGGATATGGAAGGGGAAAGGGAGTATGAGAACAGAAAGGATGGGGCTGGAGAGATGGCTCAGAAGTTAAGAACATTAGCTGCCTTTCCAAAGGTCCTGAGTTCAATTCCCAGCAACCACGTGGTGGCTTATAACCATCTATAGTGAGATCTGGTGCCCTCTACTGGTGTGCAGGCATACATGCAGGCAGAATGCTGTATAAATAATAAATATATCTTTGAGAATAGAAAGGATAAAGGAGTATGTGTGTTATGAAAGTATATTATATAAATGCATAGAGATGTCATCATTAAAACTCTTTGTATAATTAATATATACTACCTTTTAAAATACATAGTTACTACACAGAATGCAAACAAGGAAAACCGCACATGGCGTTCCCTTGGCTCCTGTGGTTAACAGCACTTTGGGAAAGTTGATGGGCCTTCAAGGATGTGCTGGTTTTCTCTGTGGAGTCAAATGATAGAAACACAAAGGGAGAGTCCCCGTGGAGCAAGCAGACAGAAAAGGCTAAGGTGCAGAATGCCAGAGTGAGAGCGAAAGCAGGCGGGAGCAACAAGGCCTCTTAAAAGCAGGTTTGGCGGGAAATCTGGCTAGGCGTGAACGTTAGTAACCAGACGACAGCTTCCCTTTCTATCACTTGGCTT